GTTGTTCGTCTCGACGTTGCAGCTTCGCCTTCGTACAACAATCATGGACCATCGACTCGGATCATCGGCTCTGAGGAAGACGAAGACGTCGAAACGTTAGCCGAAAATAAATATATTTATCAACCTCGTGCAAACTCCTGACATTGTTTTTCCGACTGGGAGTTCTGTAACACCGAGTGATCTGTCATCCTGAATGCGTAGAGACCAAGGTTCTGACGCATGCATTTAGACAGAAAGAATTGTGTAGTCGAAAAGGCGGGAACGTTACAGGGTGTTCTTCGTTCTTTTCGCTACATCCTCGATGCGCCTTAAAGCTCCCTAAACTGCTCGCTTCCCCCTACCGAAGCCCGGAGCTACGTCGTTCATTATATTGATTTCCCGACCTAGATAGACGTATCTGGAGCTTTCAAAAATATTCATTCCTCGTGAATGCGCATACGAAACCAATCCGTTCGTCGTGAATATCGCTGTGCAAGGTTTGGTTGGAGGTTAATATTTCCACAGGCGTTATCAATGTCGGAATCATTCGTTCCGTTTGCTTAATGCGTGATGTTATAAGAACGATGTCATCGGCAAAGCAAAGGTGGTTTAATTGCTGGCCGTGGATTTTCAGTCGCATGTTGTCCCATTCCATCGTTCGCAAGACGTTCTGGTGGATGGCAATAAATAATTTTGGCGAGATCATATTACCTTGCTAATCTCTCTGAAATGGTGATATCTTTGTTGTAGATTTGATTTGCTCACGAAGATTCATTACATACCAAAAAAGACACCCTTCCAGGGCATCTATGTCTGCTTCTATCTCAACTGAGTCAAAAGCTTTCTTCGAATCGATGAAAGCGGGACAAAGTGGTCTCTCGTACGCTCGTGATACTGCTGAGTTTTGTTGCCGTGTGGATATGGCCTACTGCACTGAATCCTTTTCGAAACCCTGCTTGTTCACACGGCTGTCCCTCTTCCAGTGCTCTGTCAATTCTGTTTGGGATGACTCAAGCGGAAAATTTGCAGACGACAGACAGCAAGCAGATTGGCCGATAGTTGCCGATATCGTGCAGGTTACCCTTCTTGAACAATAACACAGTCTTGCTGGTCTTCCACTGAGTAGAGATCCGAGTAGTATTCGTGAATGATTTCCTCCATTGCCTTTCTGGACGCTGTAACTGTTTCGTCTGGGTGCCGGAGAGCAATCATTTTGCTCTTGTAATTGGCGAAGCTTCGGTGTGCTTTGCGAATGTTTTCGCACCCTCTGCAGCTTCGGCCATTACTGCTGCTCTTCTCACTCTAAGATCTTCTTTTATCGCCTCTCTGCATTGTTTTGCAAGTTCGGACGTTAGTTCGTGGTTGCCAGCAGCTCGTGCGATTCTACGCTGGCGTATCAGCTCGAGTGTTTCTGGAGGTAGACGTCTCTTGGTGACTTTCGAACTCTGAGCTTTCATAGCGCTGGCTTGAAGATGTTGAATGGGCCGATCGCATTCTTCGTCGATGTTATTGACCACGGCATCTTTCCAACAGCCGACTAATGAAACGAATAAATCCCAGTTTACGGTGGTTTTGAGACTTCGGCTTCGGAATTTAGCGGTTTTTTCTCCTATAGCATGTCGGTTTCCGGAAGGAACAACGACATATCGATACTCCTTTATTTGATATGAGTGAAGGAAGACATGATTATTGGGAAGATTTGAGAAGTAATCGTCAATGAATTTCTATATTACCTTCTGGAAGCTGTAACTGTTCTAGCTGAGAAATCGAAGGGCCATTATCCTGATTTTGCAATTGGCGAAACTTCGACGGGCCGAATGATTTCTCCAGTCTCTACAACTTCGACCATAACTGCTTCTCTTCTCTCTTTAAAATATTCTTTTATCGCCTGCCTGCAATGCTTTGCAAGAGCGGAGTTAAGTTAGCAGTTGCTTGTAGCTCGTGTGTTTCCCACAGTTGCTTATCAGCTCGAATGCTTCTGGAGACAGAATCTTTTGGTAGCTTTCGAACTCTCTGTTTTCATAGCCAAGATATAAAGATATTGAATAAGCAGCTCGCACTCCTCGTCACTGTTGGGACGGCTCGTTGCTATAGGAATACCAAGTAGTTAAGACGATTCGGTCAGAATTAGCTGCTCGCTTTTGTATGCGCCACACGGGACTTCTTGTAAGTAGTAGTCACAATGCCGGACAACTCAAACTTGGGTAATTAAACAGTTTATCATAATTATACAACAATTATAGCATAACAGTACAACTGTACAATTAATGCAACAGTAATACAGGTAATGAATGCGCGCAGCCTAATCACTGGTGTTCAGGTTGCTTATGAGTGAAGAGATTGGTATATGACTTTAACTACATGAGATGGATGTGAGGCACGAATACGGTGACTTGGACAGCATTGCTGTGACATTAGCTAGCTAACCGTGGAGCCGTTTATATACCTTTTGCGCTGGGCGGAGTCAGACTACAGTAGGGAGAGTCGGGCTACAGTTGGATGAAAGACGGGTGCTGGAAACATTTCTCAAGCATTGCAATCTGATAGGGCGATATTCAAAGCCTAGGACCGTATGTGCAGATATTTTACGAGATTGGCGCCAGCGAAATGTTAGACATACGGCTATCAGATCGTCTTGGAGAGAAGGTCATGGGAGAAACATTTGGAATGTTTGAAAAGATTTGAATTGTTTTACATAGAGAACATTTCAATATTCGTGAAGAATGTTCTCTATAGAATGCACTCCTCGTCATTGTCGAAAGCGGCATGTTTCCAGCAGCCCTTTATTGAACTGGATAAGTCCCAGTTTAGTTTTGGGATTTCATTTTTTGAATTTAGTGGTCTATTCACCCTTCTAGAAAAAAATAAAATCTTAAGAGAAAAAGGCAAAGGCTTGATCATGTATAGAAATTTCAAGCAACAGCGACATAGTTAGGCTAAACATTTTATTTACTATGCGGTTCTTTTCGCTCTGAAACTCTACACTGGAAAACTCACACGTCCAACGTTAGCAAAAGGGCTCCTGCAATTATAGGTTACCCTAAATAGTCATGTTCGTTATAATAAACTCGAACAGCCGCTAACTCTGCTCATTCCAGTTTAATCGGTGGGTCTCCATGTTACGTTTTTCAAACCTTCTTTTGAACCCAATCCCAGCGTTATAGTCTCCAATGATAACCTTAAAGAATGTATGATTTTCTCTACAGAACTTCTCCAAGTCCATATAGAACGCTTCAACTTTCTCTTCTTAATGTCGTTGCGTAAAAGACGAAGATTGTCAAAGCCGGTATTAATCCACATTTTTTCAACTGTAGACTTCCGATTCGGGATGTTAGTTGTTCAAATAGATTGATGTTCATGGCCAAACTCTCGTTGGCGAGAATGCCGATGCCGCCGATCCTCTACTGTCGCTTGTTCCGAGGAATAGTTCTTTTCCTGTGTCATAGGCGGCGTTGAATGGGTGGTTTCATATCATTTCGACCAGTCCAATGATGTCGTACCTTATTCTTCTTGCTTTCATGATCAGGTCTTCTATCGAGAACTCAAATGCAAGTGTGCATGTATTGCAGGTACAGATCATCACCTTAGTCCTTTCCGAATTAGGCAGCTTAGAATGGTTTTGTGGTTTTAGCAGCCTCTCCGTGCTTATCCTACTCAAGGCTGTCGTATTGGATGCTCTTTCTTGGTCAGGAGAATGAGGCCCGTTTATTTTACTGTGTTTAACCTTTCCATGTCCTCTTATAGCTTGTTGTTCTCTGAACGTGTGGGTTGGGTTTACTCACGGGTGGCTTGCTAGTCTCTGCCAGAGTAGGCAAAGAGCTTGCTTGTTGAAGGCAACTTCTAACCGCCTCCCATACAGTTTCCTGCTACTTTATTCCAGGCTTTTGCTTGAATTGATTAGTAGAATAGAGCCCGCATAAACGTGGGCACACCCACTCATGCATGTATGAATACGTCTTCATAAATATATGTGCCAAGTCTGTGTAGGCAAAAGCAGTATATGGACGCCGTGGATCCACTTGCGTCTCAGGAAAGAAAAAGTCTTGTTTGCTCCACGATTAACCCCTTATCCGCTCCCAGCGAAACGTTGCCTCGCGTTCAGCCGGTATGGGCCCCCTCAATGAAGGAGATCCGTGGATTAAACGTACTACGGTTTAAAATTAGTCGTGCTTCGATCGGAGTGAAATAAGACTCCATTTCTTTCCTAGGCTTAAGCGGTAAGAGTACATCTAGTGCATTGGTTAGAGGTACCCTGCAATGTGGACATAGTGGTTTGTTCGATCTCTCGCTTAGAGCGAACCAAATTCACCATTTCTTCGGAATTCGCAAATTAGCACCAAATTTGTCTGACGTGCTACAAAAAAAAACAGTGCTTTAAAGCGTCGATAGACCCCGAAGGTCGTTCTTAGGTAAGATGTTCATTCAATCACCTCTACGACGCTTCGAATGAAGTTGAATGCACGTAGCTTCTATAAAAAGATGATCGGACCGAACCCTTTTTTATCACTAAGTACTAAATTTACTGAAAAATATGGACAGGTTTCCATCAATTGTACTTGCAAGTAACCGATTACGTCGAAGAGTGGATAATTTTTATAATTCACAGTCTAAACATTCAGGACTATCCTACTTCGTAGTATTTAGATCCTTATAGATTTAGACTCTTTTTTTACTGAAATTTTCCTTCTCTTCTCTCAAAAATTACTTTACCCCCTAACTTCCATTATTCTGCTCTTCTCATCATATTACAGGCTGTGTTGCAAAAAACTTTCTTGTCTACTTCGCTTTAATTCAGTTCCTAGGCGTAAATTTTCTCTATTCTGTTTAATCTATTTCACTTTGCTAAACATGTTCACTTGCATCGTCATTGATAGAGCACTGTTCTGTTGGTTAATCACAGAAATCTGCCATCGTGGGAGAATCCTAATCGTAATGAAGCAGTTGAATTCACCCTCTTCCAATTGGACTTTTCCAATCCAGAAGGACAGTGACGGACATTGACTAATGCAGAGGAACAGACCGGTAAGGCTATCTCAAAGTTCGGATGCTGCGGTCAACTAGCATTTAACGCGTCAATGGTAAGGTAACGTAAGACGAACAGATCGTCAGGTCGCTTCCGAACCCATACACAATACCAACTACTTCCACTGAAGACGGTTTCTAGACAACGCAATGAATGCAGGAACTCTGATGAATTTATCGGCGGTTTTTCTATAAAAATATCGAAAGGGTAAAATTGTTTTCAGAATATTTTTAAAATGACTAAAGGAGGTATATCACGTAGAAAGATTGTCACTCAATCAAGAAAATAATCGGCGTCGGAATTTCACTCTTTCAAATCGTTCTAACTCCTTCTTCGCTTTTAATCGAAGTATTCCTTTTCGCTCAACAAAATCTAATGATGATGAGTGCACAGATGACGCAGCTCATCCAGTACAGTATTCTACCACAATTTGTTCCCTTAATGCACCATTTAAAGACGGAGTGTGTTACGAGAGCAAGAATGTAATCACACCCACTAACTGCTGTAACTAATCCGTTACCAAAACAAAGGCAAAAATAGACAACGACGCTCATAATTTTGTAGTCATCCGAATTACAACAATGTTCACTAGGACTGATATCATGTCATAATGGCAATCCACCAAATATCTAGTTACATTCTATTCGAAACAACGTTTCCTGATTATAATAATATTAATGTGTCGTTTTCTTGTTCAGCAATCGCGAGGTTTCTAAACAGCATACATTTACTTCCATAGAGAAACACAATACAATACAACGCCAACTGACGTTTCGACAGTGTCGCCTTCTTCAGAGCCTGGAAGGGTATACTGATATACCATATACTAGGCCAAACGCTTCAACAACACTTACGAAAAGACGAAAGACTCTTTGGTAATTACATGATCAACAGCTTCTCGAAAAACTTACCGCTTTTTTCGTGACCTCCAATGAGGAAGTTTAGAACAGCTGATTATAGGCGCATATGATTGATGACTGCACCACCCCACATCAGAAATTGATGCGAACATACGGGGTCAGGTCGTATATGACCTCCAGGCATTCATCCCTGCTATTCAATGTAGGGTTTTTGGCATTTATCCAAAAAGCCCTCAAGAAGTTTTCGTGCTGGTGTTTTGGTCTCCTGTGCAAGGATATTGACTTTTACTTCAAAATTGTCTCCGCTATGCTCTTGTATCACATGCGTGCTTAGTGAGGTACTTTGTCTTAGTTTCCATTTGCCATCTAGGTGTTTTTTTATACGGATACACAAAGGTCTTCCCGTTTCGCCAATGAAAACTTCTTGAGGCTTTTTGGATAAATGCCAAAAACCCTACAATGAATAGCAGGGACGAATGCCTGGAGGTCATACGCGACCTGATCCCGTATGTTCGCATCGATTTTTGATGTGGGATGGTGCAGTCATCAACCACATGCGACTCTAATCAGCTGTTCTAAACTTCCTCATTGAAAATCACGAAAAAGCGGTGGGTTTTTTGAGAAGTTGTTGATCATGTAATTACCAAAGAGTTTTTCGTCTCTTTGTAAGTGTTGTTGAAGCGTTTGGCCTAGTAGATTGTATATCAGCATACCCTTCCAGGCTCTGAAGAAGGCGATACTGCCGAAACGTCAGCTAGTGTTGTATTGTATTGTGTTTCTCTATGGAAGTAAATGCATGCTGTTTAAAAACCTCGCGATTGCTGAACAAGAAAACGACACATTCATATTCCAATGCCGAGGTTAAGAGAAAGTCGATCCTGGGAACTATAATAATATTCATCTTTGTATCTCACACGAGTTGAAATACGCCAAATATTGGTAAACAGGATTTTTCGGAACTTCGTGACAGTGCAAGACGTTCCAGAACACTAAATTTTTAAAAAATCTTATTTCTACCTGTTTTGAAAGGATGTGGCCGTCACATTAATTAATACTCCTGTAATGAATGCTTCATTAATCAATGCTCATCGGAAGCCAAGTTGTTTTCTAACGGATTCAAGCTTCGTTTTTCCTTTATCTAAACGGTAGGGATATGCCTATCACAAAAATTATTATATCTGATGGCGATTGTTATAAAATACGATCACCTAGGAGTTTTCTTCGAAGTTTCTCTTAATTACAGGTGCAGCGCTGCGAGAAAGTCTACACAGCACAAACCTTCGCAGCCACTCGCTTCGGATCGGCCAAATTTAAAACGTACAAGGTACGTCACGATACTTAAAGACGTACAGTAAGCTATACCGGAAGAGAATAGACCACAAGAAGGAGGATATTACGTCATTCATGGGCGCGGAAATCCAGCAGAAGCAAAATCGTTTTAACCAAAAAATTTTCAAAAACCCATAATTTTGCTGTGAAAACGAAAAAATAGAGTTTTAGAAACGAAAACTTGAAAGTTAGGTTTTTATAGGTCGTTCTATTGCTAAGCTGTTGCTGATTTCGGTTTTCAGTCATCAGATGGTTATTACGAAGGCGATAGTCATCATCCGTTCACAATGCCGTCGAACTATGGGTATTCGAAGTAAGCTGGCGATGCACTGTTGTTATATGGGATTCTTCGATGATCTTCATTAGACTGTTCTTCTTAAGACTGTTTGGTTTTCTGAATGCGGTTTCTCGTGTGACGCCGATGGTAGAGAAGAACGACAAAGACACTGACGCTCAAGGGGCGATTGTGGAGTTTTCGGAAGATGAGAAGGTAGGATACGCAAGTAAAATCTCTTAGAGAATTGCATGAAGCAATTTAAGGGCCGCAATAGTTTTATATGCCTAAAGGTTCGCTTGTAAAAGGTGACTGGTTTTTATACGTATTGCTCTCTATCCATATGGAAATCCTCTTGATTCATTAAAATTGAACATTAGTGTCGACTGTTGGAATTTGAAGAAAAATTGAAAAAAAAGAGAATCACTTTCAAGTGAAGAAAACAAAGCGATTAGACAATCGCCTGTGACTGGAATGTGCATCACACGACTTTCAAGCAGTATGAATTCAACTTCGGCGCACCTACTTAGCCAGAAATGATAGTCGAAATATCTCAAAAAGTACTGATATCTAAGTCATTCATTTGAACAACGATAGCCTTTGGAAATATTAAAATATGCAAGTTGGTAGTAAAATTTGAGGAAAGTTATTTTAATTCTAGGCACGACTTATGAAGGATACTCAAGGAGAAAGCACAGCTAATGAGATCGTGGACTATAACGCACATAGAGACAGTTGGTTCCCACTTGGAGCTTTCATTCATTCAAATCGTTCGCGAGCTCTTTAGATTGCATATCTTTGGAGCTAAATTAGGCAGCTTTCCTGAATCATTTTTTGCATATAAATTCCACTATGTCGTCAAGCATCACATTCTTATCCTCTTAAATCGTTTCATGGAAGATACAAAATAATTGAAAAAAGCAATAGTCCGTGACACTGGGAAAAGTTTGCAGTGTAATGTGGTAACAGTATTTTTTCTTCTTGTTGGGAACTCATCTTTTTACACCGTGTAACAGAGTATAAACTATCACTGTACTTAATAAAAACAATATCCTTATGTGATCATAAACTTGCTTACTTGCTCGGATAGTTGGATGGCCCATTCTCACTGGTTGTGAGGTCTCCAACACAGTCTCCACTTTTCGGAGTTTTGCTGATCTAGCCACTGTGTTTCCATGAAGTCCCGAGGTAAGCCAGGCCAAAGTCTGCTTCAGATCGTCACCACCACAGGCAGTCGACCTTGTCGATCAGGGAGAGGTTTGCCACCATGAAACAAATTTGGTGTCAGGACGTGTCCTGGTATTGATTTGCTTTTAGCTGATCTTCTTGGTGGAAACGCCAGACCACTTCTCAGCTTGGGAGACTCTGCCGAGGGATGTAGCCGCCACTTGACATCGCAGCCCGACACCCAGGAACACTTCCCAGCCACGATGAAGCGGTAAACCGTTGGGAGGTGATTACAAACAAATGGTGATTATGAACACATGCAGGAAGCCGCACTTCTTCAATCAATACGAATCAAATGTAGTTGGGTTTTAAAATAAGGAACGTTAGGTGCATAATTAAAGGATGATGCCTTGCCATTCTTAAATGAGTTATTATAGCGCTTAAACGTGTTAATTCCCTCAAATGTTTTGTTAAATGCCTGTAAATGAGGCTGTCGTTATGATTTTTCATGGTTTTCAATTATTACGTGAACAGTTTCTTATCACTACAGCTGTCGACGAAAAGTCAGAAGTGATTAATGAAGAGTGAAGGAAACACCGTTGTTCGCTTGGTCGAAATTGTCTAATAAATATTAAAATTAGAGGCAGTTTTAATTTCTCTATTTTGTCACATTAATTCAGACAAATGCGAAGATGTGTGGAAAGATTTGCCGAGATTTTCGTTTTTTCGAAGATTGTAGGCAGTGGAAAGAGGCGAAATGAGAAGCTTTGTGGAGAGCGTTTAAGTGATGTGACGACACTAGCAATCTTTAGACGAATATTTTCGCCTTTTAACGCCATCGTTTTGACGTTAGTTAGGTGGTTTTATTCTCCAAGATTGAGCATTTAGAAATGTTTTTATCAGAACAACAAATTTCATCTAGAATTCGAAACCAAAAGTAAAAGTATGAAACGGATGGACAAACTCGTTTTGACGAGAACGCCTTCGTCGCCGAATCTCTACTTTCGCATGCTCCGAGGCTCCAGTGTCATAGTCGGCGTCGAATGGCCGGCGTTATCTCATCTCGGCCAGGACGATGACGTCTTACCTTGTCCTTCTTGCTTGAATGACAGAATGTTTTACCGAGGGCTCAGATGAGAGTGTGCGGCCATTGTTGGTGCACATCTTCACCGTAATCCTTTGCGAATTAGGCAGTTGAGAATGGCCCTGTGATTTTAGCAGCCTCTCCTTACTCATCCTACCCGAAGCTGCCAAATCGGGGACTGGACTCTTTCGGGGTCAGAGAAATGAGGCCCGTTTCTTCTACCGTGCTTGGTTTTTTGACACTCACGCATAGCTTACTGAGCTCTGAACATGGGGGTTGTGTTTACCCACGGGTAGCTTTCCAGTCTTTGTTAGAGTAGATAAGGAGCTTATTTGTCCAAGGAGACTCTTAACCGCCACCCATACACTTTACTATCACTTGATTAAAGGCTTTGGGTCGAATTGACTGGTAGAATACAGTCGGCATGAAGGACAATACATCCACGCACACATGTATGACTTCTCCTCGTAAATACAGGACCTGTGTGCCAAATTGGCGTTGCAAAAACGGAAAGCCCATCCCTTGGATCCACCTGCGTATCAAAAAAGCAAAAGTCGCTTTTGATCCGCTATTAAAGCCCTATCCGCCAGCTGAGGACGCGCCACGTAGCCTCGTGACTAATCGGCTCGAGATGCTCATATCAGGGTGATTCGTAAGTACCTTCCTTTAACAAAAAAGGAAAAAGCTCTCGCCGTTGATCTATCCCTGAGAAATGTGCCATTTGTTAAACATCGATAGAGATGATTGAATGAGTATCTGGTCCTACAATGACTTGTGGTGGCCTACCGAAGGATCGACTCAGTGCTGCTATCCTCCCATGCAAGTCTGGTAGCAATTTGCCGACCCCGGAGGAATGGAAGACTTGGTGAACCACGGGCACGGATCGATCCCCTGTTTTTGTTGTACGGCTCCTCCGACCACTGCTCCACACGTGCCCATCCTCGATGTTTGTCTTTAGAGAAAAAATTATGTTCAACGAGGATCCCATCAAAAATTGGATTGTTGGAGAGTATAAAATGATTGTGGCTGCTTTGAGAAGTCTTCATCTTTTCGGACTTAACATCAGAGATGACCATTTGGTCAGCTATCATATCAATTAGTTTACTGTTTTCGAATGCACCGAACTGACTGTCAAAAGTTTGCTAATCTGTTAGACACTCTTAATGAGATAAATTCTATTCCTATTTTTTAACTTATTATTTACTAGCTACTCTTTTTAACGGCAGGGTATACATTGTAAAATATTACTTCAATGAAGCTGAGATATTTGCAAAACTCCGGACCGCAGGTGTATGCGGTGGGGAGCGAACGCGCTATTGTCCTTTCCGGGGAGTAGCGCGTTCACCACCACACCACGCGAGTCCTTCGTTTCGCCTGCCTCTCAGCTAGTCTTATCGATCTTTTGCCATCAGTAATCACCAATAGCGTTCGTTCCCCGCCGCATTCACCTGCGGTCCGAAGTTTTGCAAATATCTCAGTATCATTGAAGTTCTATTCCTACTCTCTAAATCTCTGTGATGTTCTTCTTAAACATTAAGAAAGAACGAGAACTGTTTTTTTTTCCATTTATATACAAGGTTTTAAAATGGAACAACTTTCGTGATGCTAGTGCTAACCAAAAATTTTTTACTTGAACAGTCTAATTTCTTTTTCAGCTAAATGAATTCGTGAGTGTAATCTTCGTTGGTAATCAGAACCAACCACAGCCAGTCTAGGATTTCGTTGGTGTTGATATCAAAATGTATCAATCAATGCGCGTGTTATAACGTAGAATTGATAGCACTGTTAAAGTGCCTGCATTCTATAAGGAATGAGGGAAATTTCATGCGCCACTTGATTTCGGTGACTCTTTGATCTTTTCAAAAGCGGTGCTGACTTTTCATTTAAAGGAATAGTGCTCCATAAAATGCAGAGCATTTTCGGCTGACTTATCTCATTTTCACCCAAAGGTTTACTTCCTCATCGTAGCTGGGAGGTGTTGCTTGATGCAGGGTTGCGAAGTATAGCGGGGAAGTCATCCCCTGGCAGAGTCTCCAGAGCTGAGAAGGAGTCTAGTGTTTCCATCAGGAGTCCCAGCTAGGAGTACATCAATACCAGGATCCGTCAATCTCCTGGTACCAAACTAGCTGTATGGTGGCCAATCTTTCTCTGATTCACAGGAACTACGATTGCTTGTCGTGCTGACGGCCTGGGGCAGATTTTGGCCAGGCTGACCTCGGAACTCCAGGGAACCACAATGGATAAGCCAGCAAAACTCCGATAAAATGGAGATTATACTGGGGCCCGCACAGCCAGTGAGGATGGGCCATCCAAGTACCCAAGTAACTAAGTATCTCATTTATACGTTCTAGAGTTAACTATCACATAATGTGGTTTGTTAAACTTTGTTGAATTTGCCAATATACTGTAAACCGAAGTCCGGGCGAACTTGATCACCGAAGTCGAGACGAACTTAATGCAAGCTGCCTGTCCCTTCCTTTCATTCCAAACACAGCTTCTATTCACCAATCAAATCACTTCTCTACTGGCACACTTCTATTGCTTCCTTTATTGTAAGCTTATCAGTTTATCAGTTTATGAACAAACACCCAAATTGGCGAATAAGTGTATACAAGTAAGTTCTTTCTCTTCTTGAGCAGGTTCTGCCAGATCCGATTCTAACGCTTCCTGTTTGAAATATTCGGCCACCAATTTGTTTTCTGGGAAATCGATCGTCTTCGAAAGTTTGCACTATTTGGAATGAAATTGACACATCTCGCACAGGAATTCATGAAGTCGGGTTGGGAGGCAATTGAATGTGTTGTTCTCAGAGTGCGAACGACTCAAGCAAATATAGCCAATTCCTGCGTTCCTCGCTGTCATTGTTGTTATCGTCGTCAGTCCACTCACTTTTACTCTCATTGACCTATCTTTGTCCTTCATGAGAATTTATATCCAGTAAAAAGAGAACCGCAAACTGTCATCTTATATATGACTTCGTTGTCTTCGTCGGCATCATCGTCGTCGTCAACGTCGCTATCGTGTAGGGTATAAAGTCCTTCGGACATATTTTAGTGAACTTCATCTGTGACTTATTTCAAGTGTAGTAAACGTTCTCCTTTGAATCATCAACATTTTTTCTGAATCTAATAGCTACTTTACTGTCACTTTGACCAACATAAATGCAAAGGTTTCGAAATTTATTTTGTTTCTGTTTTGACCTTACATCTGTAACAGTACCAAAGCATCCTGATGGCATATAGGTGAAAGTACACCGTATCACTGACTTTGTTATTTACAGATTTGGTTTCCAGTCTTCATACAGTAACTAACTGTTCATTTACATGCAACAAATGGAGGTGGTTTTTAATGTGCGCTTTTCCTTCGCTACAAAACCCTCCAACTAGCAAATAGTACAGTGGCAACCAACAACGTCTGTTAAAGCATTTAATAGGTCTAGAATTTAAAAGAAAAGGCTTTTCTACGTCCTACTAATTAGCTCCATGTTCTTGTCTGCCCACTGTTTTTTCAGCGAGCATGAATTTTTATTTTCCATG